ACGGTCCATCTAATTTAGTAATTCTTAACTGAGAACATAAAGCCCCTTAGGGTGCAAACTACAAAGGGGGGGGGGATTCAAGATTTTAAACAGCCTCTTTTCCCCACTTGCATGCCTTCCAACAGCCAGTAGAGAACAGTTGTCTTACAATCCTCACCCCATAACAGGATCAATTTCTAGATTTCAGATTTGTCCCCCAATCCCTTAAAAAAGTGGCACACAGCAGAAAGAACTTAAACAGATATGCCCCCTCTGAGCTTGGGGCAACCCCACAAAAAACAGTATTCCTGATGGGCTTCCAGAAAGAGAACAACAGAAACAGCACTACAATAACAATCAAGATAAGGGAGAAACAAGCTCTCCAAAAAGTGCCAAATTGGGTAAAAAATGGCACTCCTTTGTCTGCATATATCATAAATATATCAATATAAGTAAAACAATCTTTCTTTGAAGTGCTATTTTTATGTCCCAATTTTTTTCTTGTGTCTTGGGGAACATTTGATTATAGTGTTGCACCTTGGTAGTTGGTAAGGTAAAGCTAAAGGTGCTCGAAAGCTAGTTGAATCTGACTCTAGGGTTGCGGTGCTCATCTCCGTTTCAAAGCCGAAGAGCCAGCGCTGTCCGAAGACGTTTCCGTGGTCATGTGGCCGGCATGACTAAACACCAAGGCGAACGGAACGCTGTTACTTTCCCACCGAAGTAGTACCTATTTATCTACTTGCAATTTCTTGCTTTCGAACTGCTAGGTTGGCAGGAGCTGGAACTAGAGACGGGAGCTCACTCCGTCATGCGGCACACTCGGGTCTTGAACTGCTGAACTACTGACCTTCCACAGCCTGCAGTTCAGCGTCTTAACCACTTGAGCCACCGCAGTCCTTGGTGGCTAGTACTTGATTAAAAATTAAGACTCACTAATCTAGCTAACCAATCTGATGGGATATTTCTATAATTGTCATAAATAGAAGCCTTAATAGAGGGAAGCTTAAAGAAGAAGCTGACAAGAGTAAGTGGAAATTTGGTTTTGAGCTACTATTTAATTAATCTAGGCCCAAGAGAGGGCTATGAAAGACATGTGCCGTACACATAGAAATTGGTAAGACATACATGATAATTTTCTCTGAGTAAGCTTAATGACAGATGCTGAACAATGGCTGAATCCCTTCAAGAATGTGTGGATGTAGATGGGAGGGAGGGAAAGGAAACAACCTGTTTTCTATTCTTCTAAGAAGAGTATTCTCCAAATGAGGAGAGTTGAGCATGGTAATTTTAATCAGGTAATTTTAAAAGTGAATATGTTCAGATACACCAATACCTTTTAAACTTTTGATAATCCTATAATGTTGCACAGTTTTATTTGTTTTGAACATTTCTTGGTAGCTAAGGCAAAATAACATTTTAAATCATATAATTAAATTAGGATATATTTATATGGTATTAATGAATCTTGTATAATGGCACTAACTAAACTCTGTGATTCACTTTTTTATTGTTTATACTTCCAGAAAATGAAAAAAATACCACATGCGCCTTTCCAGATAGTCTAAAAACACAACCCATCAAAACAGCACTTATATCTAATTGTCACAGAAAAGAGAAGACTGAAGCAATCACCAAACTTCCCATTTCTATTAATCCTAGCAATGATACTGGAACCTCTGGATATAATGATACAGATGGAAAATTATTATATTCAGGTATATATCAGTTTTGGTTAACAGCAGTGCCCATGTATTTGGTGCTGTGCATTTTGATAAAATTGAATAGGTCTAAAAGAAAACTAGAGGATCATTTAGTGCACTGATGCAGAATTTAAAACAGACATATACCCAAACATATAGTTTCACATACTGTTCGCACACTTTGCCTTAAAACTGCTAAAAGACTTTCCACAATTTATTTAAATTTATTTTTTTTAAAATAATCTTTGCAACTTCTCTGAGAAGACATGTACAATGTAGGGTGCTTCAAGCAATGTTCGCTATATGAGACCAAGAAACCTGCGATGGGTACTAGGTCTGCTGAGGCTGACTACTCCTCAGATGAGGAAGAGGCAGGGAGTCAGCCCAGAAGAAGAACCCTCAACTATACCCAGGCCTCGGATTGGGCCAGAGTGTTGCTCTGGGAGAGAGGCAGGGGGGGGGGGACAGGGTGCTCACATGGCAAAGCCCCACCCCCTTTTTTTGGCCGCCCTCTGCTTCCAGCCTCATTCTGTTCCAGAACGAGGAAGAAGCAGGAGGGTAAGTTGGCTTCCTCCCCCGTCTCTGCCTGCCACGCACCCCGGGAAAAATCCCCCCCCGGTCTCTGCCTGTCCGAGGCTGTTCTAGTGGCAGCTGCGATGCCCGCGGGGGGGGGGGGGGGGGGGGGGGGGAGTCCGTCGTCGCTGCTTTTGGCGGCAGCTGCAACCACCGGGGGTGTGTGTGTCTGCTGAGCTGCCCTCCCCGCCTTTTTCAGGCTCTGCGCCGGAGTGCCGGGCCTGAAAAATGTCCTACAGAGCAATCCCCCCCCCTTCCTTTTTCAGGCTCTGCACTAGAACGCTGAATGTCAATTTCGGCCCCATTATATCCTATGGGCCATTGAAGTCAATGGCAAAAACATAGGGTATATTCTGGGGGCTGGAGGGGAGGGGGTTTGAGGGAGAGGCTCCAAACGTGCAGGGTAGCTGCTGGAGCCTCTCCCCAAGATACCAACCAAGTTTGAAGAACATTGGACCAGGGGGTCCAATTCTACGGGCCCCCAAACAGGTTGCCCCTATCCCCTCCATTGTTCTCTATGGTGGGAAAAAGTAACTTTTTTCCCACCATAGAGAACAATGGAGGGGATGGGGGCAACCTGGCTCTTTGACTTTTGGCTCTGACTGACCTTGATTCTGGACTGTGTTTACAAGCTTCCAGTGTGTGGTCTCTGTGGCAGCCAGCCAAGACAGCACAAAACCAGTGTTTGTTTTGACTTATGGACTCCACTTTCTTTACTACCCTCATGCCAATTAAAGCTTTTAGGATATATGTCTATTTAAATTTCAGAACATAACTTGATATATACTCCATTGCAGCTTTTGTAACTTTTTAGAATATGTAATACGTGTATAGAAAACAAAGCAATGTATTGCATAATACAAAAATAAATGCTTTAGATCAGGGGCCCCAACCTTTCTGAGCCTGTGGGCACACGAAAGCTCATACATGAATAAAACTTTGCTGGTCTTAAAGGTGTCACAGGAGTCAAACTTTGTTCTACGGCTTATCCTTATTCATGCAGGTTTTCCACCCCTTGGCAAAAGCTGGAAATTTCTGATTGGTGTCCTTATAGTTATTGTTACTACTACATTGCTGATTATTACTGCCATCAAAGTCCCAGTGTGGTACCGTCATTTGATCAGCTACAATCATAGCCGTCTGGAAGAAGATGAACCCGGAATGTTTGAAGAACATTTCTCCACAGATATGTGCAGTTTCCCACCAGGACCAGATACCAATGAGAATGACTCCATAGTGGTATTTCAACAATTTCATACGTTTGTTCCAGAAGATGATGGATATATTGAAGATAAGTATATTGATACATGAAGACTTACTTGACTGAATCTACTTGCCTTATGCTGTAATATTAGCACAGACTCGTGGTATATATACTTTCATGAACTACAGAACTAACAAATAACCTGTTGATGCTTTTATTCAATCATAGTATGTATCCTTAAATTTTATAGTTTTCATGCAAAAATACTACAGTGTGCACCAAGGCTCTCTTTGCATAAGGAAAAAAAGATTTATATGTTTAAAAATAGGAAGAAAAACAACATTCAGTGATAATTAAGACAAGGCATATAAGTCAGTAATGAAGTTTGTCAGGAGTTTAAAATATAACAGGCAACAAAAAATAAATCTTTCAATGTTTGAACACAGAGAAAGCATTTTAAAATAATTTTTACTGATATCAAATGGCTTCTTTGGTTTTTGCTGGTATATTCAGTAGTTTGCAGACACTTACAAATCCAATGTAATGTTTCATATTTGTTTGCATTTGCTAGACCTTTTTTTAAGTTATAAAATCTGTATCCCAATAATTAAAATGAAGAACTCTACAGAATGTATGAGTGGCTTTTTTGTTTCTTTAGGTTTGTCCTGGAAGAAAACTATAATCCCATACCAGCAGCAGACACTGTAGCCATGTCCAAAGCTATGGTTTCTGCCATTTACCTTATACCAGAGAAAATATATTCACTGACAACATTTCACATGAGAGAGGCACACTAAACTATTAATTGCTTCATAGCATTTAAACTATTAAAGTTTCAATTACAAAACATTTACCTGGAATGTAAATTCCATAGTAACTAAAAGGCTTTCAAATTCCAAGGAAGTGTGTTTAGGATCATGTTAAGTGGCATACCCTAAGGAACCTGGGCCCTGTTCACATGGGGAATTTGCCGCGGGAGAGCCACGAGTGGATGGCGGATTTTCTGGCCACGATCACACCACAACATCTGGGAAGTGGAGCACACCCGTGGCAAGCTGCCGAAAATGCGCTTAAAAAAAAATGCCTCAACAAAGGTGGTAGCAAACGGTTTGCCATGGGCTGCCTCCGGACTCCCTTGGTGTGATCGCGCCGGCGAGGCTTTTCCCTCTGGCCGTCTGCGTTGCGGCGCACATGCCGAGGGCCGGAACCATGGGTTGCCGACGCGTCTGATCGCATTGTCGCGCGGCTACTTGCAGTGCTGCAAATAGCCACGCCTCCCCCCACGCTTTCCAGCCCGTGTGACCGGGGCCCTGGTAGACCAATTGGTTGTAGTACTGTTTTAAGAGTTTTACTGTAATTTATTTGCTGCTTTATGTAAGCTGCCCTAAGCCAGCTTCGGCTGGGAGGGCGGGTAAAAATCTAACAAATAAATAAATAAAAGTCGCAGCACAGTGTATGTGGCTAACTGTGTTTACTATGGCCATATCAACAACTTTGCACATTTTCAGTTTTCAAATTTTAGTTTTGGTATTTCATATACTTACACTTGTCTTTCTGTAAAAATGCTGTCTATGCTCTGAGCTTCACGGTCATTTTGTGCTCTCAACTATTAAAAAGACAAATCCATCAGAAACTTGGTGAGAACATATTTCCTATTTCTATAGCAAATATGAAAAAATTGCTGTTTCTATAGCTCTCTGTTCCACTATATTTCCTGCTGCAGTGTCACAGAACCATAAGATCAGGCTATAAAAGACTTTTAAAAACAACCACCTGAACCTATAAATATTCATGAGGTTTAATATAAATCACGATTTAGGGTAGCTTTGAATGTAACGTTATCAGCTTGCATGCATAATAGCTGGATTGCTGACACAAGTAACAGGACTGCTTAGGTGAATATATTAACAAATTTCTATAAAGAGCTGAGGGTTTGAAGTCAGAGGCCCCCCCCTCCAACTGTCTCCTCTTGCAATAGCAACGGCTAACAGGCTCGTAGCCATATTAAATAAAATGTAAATACACCTACTGCTGTCTGGCAAGGAAGGGGAGGACAACAATGAACAGCCCCCTGTTCCCTGTCCTTAATAGGTGACTGGCATAATTTATTAATTTAAAATACTTTTATCCTGCCTGTTGACTCTCAGGTCTCATATATGCAGAATCACAGTGAATGGGCTGAGATACTGTCAGACCTATCTTAAAGAGAGTCACACCCTTCAAACTGCATCGAAGTCCATGGGCTTGGGAGGGTATAACTCTCTCTATGACTGCACTGTGATTCATGCAGACATCTGATAGCCTGTTTGAGCACTCATATGGTGTCTAGGTGGATCAGGTTAGTAATATACCCTTTCTTGGTGCACTGGCATATCTTTTTAAAATGATCAACTGATCAGTTCATCAGTAAACACATTCTTCTCTGTTGCTTGAAGAGCTATTTCAAGTGAGAATAAAAACAGCATTGTTCCCATCGTGACCTCTTCTGAAGAAAAGATGTGGCTTTCTTATAGTCTCTTATAGTTAAGAGCATGGAGGAGGCTGCTTTGAAATGGGCATTTGGCCAGCCCTAAAAGTGTGGACTGAACTCAACACACATTGTGCTATGCATATATCCTGAAAGCTAATATACACCCAGTTCTACATTTTCTCATAAAGCAATTGTGTATTGTATTAACATGAACAACTGCAGAAAATTAAAGGTATTTTGTTGTTGAAGAAGTATGAGGCTATGCCACATCCAACCCCTCCCTCAGAGGCAAGATTTTCCCTCCGTTTTTCTTTCTCTTTCTAACTGAGCCACCCTAGGTATCCGTATTCTTCTTTCCTGAAGAACTCTAGCAGTCCCACCCTGTCACAGTATGATATTTTGGCTGCTGGCTCAGCCCAGGAACATGAGGGAAGGATCAGAGCCCCCTTTAACTTAAATGGCACTCAAGGTGTTTTGAAATTCTAAATTAACAAAATGTTTTATTGGACATAGAGGGGAAAAGGCAGGTGAAATCGGGGGTAAAACTTCTGAGGTAACTCAATATAGAACTCTGAAGTAAATCAGAATATGCACAGACTTTAGTTCATATGTTTCAGGCTATTGAGTTTCATGAACTTTTTGCACTGACTTAGGACCTTTAAGATGAAAGGTTTTTGTTCCAGTGTTTCCCAAACACTCCAGTACACTTTCTTTAAGCATTCACTGACTCTTTTGGTTTCCAGAAGGCTGGGGCATTCTATCCAGTACCCAACCCCCTTCTCAGAACACACCAGTACTCTTCTTGAGTTTTATCTGACTCTTAAGGTTTCACAAGGCAGTTTCTAACTACACCAGACCAGGGATCTCTCCACTTTTCAGAATTATCTCACTGTTTTGACTGGGTGGGAAATTTCTTCTCTCTCTAGAAGACCTTTTCTTGGCCTGAATGGGAGTCTTCTCCTAACTACCCACTCCTCTTGCCAACTCCCCCCAGTTCTCCATCTGTGTTAAACTGCTCTCAGTCAGGGCTGAATTAAGACTGAATCCTCCTCAGAATCCAGTTCAGAACTCTTCCTCTGCTCAACCGATGCTAACCAATCAGATCTCTTGGAGCAGCCTATCACTCATGGCTCTCTGGATCTTTGAGGAATTAACCCTTCACAGTCCATTACCTGTTTGTACAGCACTTCTAAGTTTTTAAATGTGCAGTCTGTCACAGATGCAGATGAAGGGAGTAAGATAGATGAGGTGAAATGAAGACTATATAACAGCTTTCCCCCCCAGAGAGCTGAATTAGTTTATTCAGGAACAATAAATTAATACATGGTGACAAACAAGAAGACCTGTTCAACCGCTTATATATCTACCAACAGAAGTCTAAGAAGTTCTAAATGCAAAGAGAAGTGAGTAATGTAACAAATCACATTAAACCAAACTGGTGTAGAACATTATCATTCTTCTCATGAACTATTCACATCAGCAGCAGTAATTTAATGCTGAATTACTACCAATCATATAGGAACACAACAACAGTAGGGGAAAGTCCAATAATAAATTGTCAATTCAAACAGTCAACACTGCATTAAACTTCTAATTTTAACACTTACTAGGTTGTAGTCATTCATCACCTCCTCCATGTCAGTATTGGTGTTGAGCTTATCCACCAACTAAAACAAACATTAAATGTTTAACTATTCATCATTGTTTCCGGACTCACACAAATAACAAGGCAAGAAAATAGAGCGCTTTTATGAACATTTATTGTCCTATCGATGTTTTTTTTGTTTTTGTTTTTAACTATATATTAATTGTAATTTTAAATGTTTTATAATGACTGCAAATTGCCCAGAGCCTGTTCGCAGGGTGGGCAATTAATAAGACTAATAAATAAATAAAATAATAAATACAAATGAACCATGCATTCCCAAATATAATTGGCTAGATTTACAGTAGCAATAGAAAAACTACAGAAATATCTGTGAAAATAATAAATACAAATGAACCATGCATTTCCAAATATAATTGGCTAGTTTTACAGTAGCAATAGAGAAACTACAGAAATATCTGTACAATTGCTATTCACAGTAAAACCAGTATGTTCAGTACATAAAATCAATATAAATAAAAGAACCAAAGTGTCATAACAGTTCATTGTTGAGACCAGGAACGGTGAGAACTAGGTCCAAGTCATAATCAACCACAAAGCCCAATGAGTTACTTTGGGCCAGTCACTAGCATTCTACCAAACCTTGCTAGGTTAAACTCAGCCCAAGACTCCTGTGAGAATAACCACCTTGAGCTCCTTGGAGGAAGGGTGGATAAAAGTATACTAAATCTGGAATCAATAGCATACCATATTGTAGTCTGCCAGCTGTCCTTGAAATTCTTTGATCTCACTAGCTAAAGACTCTGCCCTAAACAAGAACAGAAAACAGATTAGATGCCACTGCTTAAACATTCAAAAACAATCAAAGCAAGTTTCAGGTTTTACCATTTACATCCCAAAAATACTTGTGTGCTTCCCTAAGGACTTTGGTGGTGAAAAATGATTTGTTACTCAAAATGCATAAATACTAGCTACCGTTAAAAACAGATGCTGAGAATGCATGCAACTGGACTTACTGTTTTTCATAAGATAGGTAGACAGAGTTCTCCTGGTTATACATGTCAATTTCTTTCTGAAGCTTGTTAATTTCAGTGGTGAGTTCATTTATTTTGCTTCTGTAAAAAAGTAGTTACCATCTTAATACATTATTTACTGCTTGTTAAAGAACTGATAGATGGGTGGGGACAACACTAGCCCCCGTCCTTCTTCTTTGGCACTCTGCAGTGTCAAACCCAATGTCTACCAGGCCTAAGGGGATCCATGGACACACTCTGTAAGAATCCTCATGCTATCCAGCTAATCAATGAGACCTGGTCCTTTAAAAGCCAGCCCTCTGACAATCAGCTGTCTGGCAACTCCACCCTGGGAGCAGGAAAGGAGAGTGGCAGGGGACAAACTGCTCAAGGGCTTGGCCACTGGGCATTCTCCAGGCCTCATCAGGGCCTTTAAAAGGCCTCAGGAAGGAAACTGAGGAGGACATACTCGCTTCCTGCTCAGAAGGGAGCACAGCTGGTGAGAGGAGGTGGAACAGGATGGTGTTCAACTCCTGCCCTTCTCAGTCTGAGGCCAAGGTGTTCTTCAGTCAAATCAGATCCTAGCACATCAGTGCCATAATCTGGGAACCAACAATTTGTATCATACCTTTCTATAGAAAGTACTACAGAATGGTTCACATTATTCTAGAAACCCCATCAGTGACTAGTTTTCCTAGAGGGTCGCTTTGAGAACAGATCAACCGTCAGGAGGCCTCAGTCCCCATACCATAACAATTTCTTCCTGTAAATTTTCTATATTACAGACATCACTTTCTGCACACCCTTTTATGCAAGGTGTGTGTGTGTGTGTGTGCAACCACAGCTTATGAAACTAGATTTGGCCCAGGAATTGCAGTGGCTGAACCCTAATTTACAACCCTAAGTTAGAACTATGACAGCCAACATGGTATAAAAGTGTCAGACTAGGATCTGGGAAACCCAGGTTCGATTTCCCACTCTGCCACGGATGCTTGCTGGGTGACCTTGGGCCAGTCACACACTCTTGGCCTAGTCTACCTCACAGGGTTGTTGTGAGGAGAAACCAACGCTGGAGAACAACATAAAGTGTTTTGGATCTCCATCGGTGAGAAAGGCAGTACAAAGTCAATAATAAAGTAATAATAACTAACTAAATAACAATTTGTTGGTTTTTGTTCTAAGTACATTTAATTTATTTATTTATTAGATTTATACCCTGCCTTCTCCACCGATGCAGGCTCAGGGCAGCTTACATAAAATTCTTAATTCAAAACCAACATAAAATCTAAACTGCTATACATACTTTCCTACGTAGCAGTGAACAATTATCAAACATTGCCATATCCAATATTTTCATGATAACAGGAGTCAGTCAATACACAATGGTGATGAAAAAGATCCCAGGGAAGGCTCTGATATTATATCTGGATGTAAAATGTGGTCAAATGCCTGGTGGAAGAGCTCCGCCTTTTCAGGCCCTGCGGAATTGTAGTAAGTCCCACAAGGCTCTGATATTTATTTATTTATTTATATTCCAATTTATATCCTGCCCTACCCCAGGCCCTGCAGAATTGTAATAAACTTCGCAGGGCCCCGATATCCTCGGGGAACTCATTCCACCAGTGAGCTGCCACAGAAAAGGCCCTAGCCCTGGTGATGGCCAGCCTGGCCTCTTTAGGGCCAGGGAGAACTAGGGGGTTGTCTCTTAGAACGCAGTGCTCTCTGGGGAACATGTGTTTTTCAGATATTATTAAATTTTATTAAAAAAGAAGAAGAGATTGGATTTATACCCCGCCCTTCACAGCCGCTTACAATCTCCTTCCCTTCCTCTCCCCACAACAGACACCCTGTGAGCTAGATGGGGCTGAGACTGAGAGAACTGCTCTTTCGAGAATAGCTCTGAGAGAACTGTAACTGACCCAAGATCATGTCAGCAGCTCCATGTGGAGGCGTGGGGAATCAAGCCCGGTTCTCCCAGATTAGAGTCCATGCTCTTAACCACTACACCAAACTGGCAAACAAAATAAAAATTTATTTCTACATTGTAGCTCCAGAATAAAAACTCCTGTTAAAATATCCCAACTGGAATGCAGGCAATTGTAGCCAGCTCTCTTACACCATCAAAGAACATGTGCAGGGCTGGCCCCAGGTTTTTTTACACACTAGGTACCCCCCCGTGCGCCCACCAATTTTCTGGCGCCCCCCCCACCCCTCCGTGAGCACCAGCGGTCTGGTTTCAGGGGCACAACAAAGGTGGGGGGCGGGGGGTCCTCCTGGCTGGAACCACGGGACGGGGCAGCTTGCACGACGGTTCCGAAACAGGAGTGTGGCCAGAGCAAGCTCCACCCACCTGGGGCAGCTGCTGGGAGGGGAGAATCGGCCGCGCATGATGCGTGGCCCAGCAGGCCATTGGACCCCTTTCCTCCACCCCGGGGGAACGTCCTCACATGCACGCCTCTCCTCCCCATGTCCCCGAAGGCCCAAAATGGACCCTGAGGCCTCAATCCATCCCGTGTCGGGATGAGGGCGAAACGGGAGGCTTTTAAAGACGAGTGAAACTGACTAACGCTGCCGGGCTGTGCAGCTCAGCCAAGGTGCCAGGCTCAGCCAAGGGAGGAAATTGACCAGAATTGGGATCAAAACTGACCCATCTGGTCCAAGGAGGTGCGCCCTGCAGGGGTCTCTCCTTCCCCAGCCCCAATGAGCCCCTGAGGACAGCCCCTGCGGACTTTGCGCTCTTTCCCCGCGACCCTCCTTGGCTGCCAACTCCCTCGCCGGAAGACCCGCTGCTGCACTATAGGAATAGCAGCCTGACGTTCGCGCCTAGCTCTCGCTCGGCTGGATTATGTGGGAGGGAAGGCGGGGCGGCAGGCAGGCTAGAGCGGCACCCTGCTCAAGCTGGCGCCCATAGGCAGCTGCCTAAATTTTGTCAATGACGGGCCGGTCCTGAACATGTGCAGAGGTGGAGGACACAGTTTTATCCTACTATAAATTAATCCTGAGTCTGATGAACTTATGGGAGAAGCTGTCTGTGTGTGTCAGCTGGAGGCAAGAGGCAATCTCTAGTAAAGAAAGAGTTCTTAAGAGGTCAGCTATGCACCAGTCACATGACCAGGTCAGGCAGAAGGAAAAAGGAAGCTTCAGAAAGCTCCATTTCCAGTACTCAGAAGGCAATGTGTGTGCATGTAGTACAAAGAAATTGTTGAGAAAGTGTGGCAGGGTACGTTGGGAAGGAGACAGATGGGACAGCCATGGTTCCTGTGCTGAGCACAGAAAAAAAATGGCCTGGTGGGAAAGAGAGGAGGCACAGGTGCCACAGAGGGGAAAGTCTTAACCACCACCCCCTGCCTGGACTGCAAAGCAGAAGGGAGATCCCAGGTACGCACTGTGAAGAACCACAAACCCTTTAACAAGGCTAGGCCACCATTCTTGACACAAACTGCTTACATGGAGATACCACACATACTCATGAAAACTATATTTCACATACCTAAGCACTCCAAGATAATATGATCTATCCATAACTTGTCTCTGCGGACCTAAGAAAGAAGAACAAATATCAGCGATTTGTTAACAACAACTCAAAGCTATATTGGTCAGGCCTGTGACTACTGGACTTAGCATCTCACATCACATGGCAGCACAAACATATTCAGAGAAAGGCTGCACAACTTGCTGACAGGGCAGAGATGGGTAGGGGACCAGCCGCAGAATGCTAACAGTAGGGGCAGGACTGTTAGACATGGTTCCTCCTCAGGTGGGACACGTCCAACTGGTGTTCAGAACAGTCCATGGCAGTGGAAAGACTGGCATTCCCTGCAGGGGCCCCCAACTCAACAACTAGGAAGTTGGCCCAGTGACACAAGCCCAAGCCCCCCAGGGGGCACTGCACCTGAGAGAGGGATGTGGCCCAGACCTGGGTCAGGCAGGCTGAGGGAAGCAAGGCCAACCCCATGACTGAGTCCACAGAAAATACAAACATGAATAAACAATCAACCTTATTGTGAAAATATTAACACCAGATTTTCAATAATAATAACATGAGCAACCCAGCAACGAAAGGGACCCTGCCCTGGGGAAACGGCAGGCAAGGCTGCACGGGGGCCTCTACCCGGCTAGGAGACATTGGCTACTACTCCCCTTTCATTACCTTTCATTCCTGTTTTCATTCCACTCAGCCCTTGCTGAGTCACTGGACGGTCTGCAACTTTAATCTGTGAGGAGAACACCACTCCAGTACCTATGGGTACACCACGTGTACCAGGTCTTGTTGTGCCTGGAGGGATCTGAAATAGAAATTGGGGAGAAAAAAATTATTGGGGCAGGAAGAAATTAATGCAGCAGTTCTGAAGAACCTTGATTATTCTGATCTGTAACGTATGAATAGGCAAGCTGGAACCTTAAAATGAGAGAAATTTAAAGTCTAGCTACACTTTAGGTACAAATTTGTCTCAGAATCCCAATGACCATTTTATTGGGTCTTAAAGAAGCAGCAGCTTCAGCAAAAGCCAATTTTTCCAAGGGATAATGCATGGGGGCTGGACCACAATAAGGAGTAGAGAATACTAGCTTTTTATTGGCAGTGATAATACGTCATGTACCTTTTTTGTTATTGTATGAGTTTGATATTGTTACTGTTTGAAATTGTACAGACATTCTATGTTGTATAAAACTCAATAAAATAAAAATAAAAAGTTTTTCAAAGCAGTAGTGAAGCAGTCACTAGGAAAGGGTTAAGCATCCTCCTTCCTGCTATTTTTCCTTATCAAAACTACTTGTTTTTTTTTAAAAAAGGCAATACTATTTTATGCAAATTTGTGTCCTTGAAGGTCTTTACTTGAATAATAAAATGGAGCAACCTGAATTACACTGCAGATGAATAACAAAAACTTGACTATAGGTTGAATAGATGAATATATGGGTGTGTGCAATGTAAGAAAATATTATTATTAATAAGCATCTTGAATCCCAGGAGAGGCTTACAATCGAAAATGATAAGAAAGGATGAGACACAGCAAGGTGAGAAATCAGAGAGTGAACAGATTGTTTTTTAGCTGCTGCTTTTGAATTATGAACTTCTCAAAGCAGGTGATCTGCTTATATTTCTTTGTAAAATTCCATGTTGATGACATGATATAAGTAATAACAAGAAACTTACAGTGTAGACACAAAACAAAGTGTCATATCATGAAGATGAGACCAAATTGCAAGATTTTTTTTAAAAAAAATTCTATATCACTCACAATATATACTATATCTTTGTTCCTTGTATCATATAGGTTTATTCAGTTAACATACCCCACTACCCAACAAAGCTGCAGATGGAGGTCGTAATGAGGATGACGGAGGTCTGGCTCCCAGCCCCATTCCTGTAGAGGGACGAGATGTAGGAGGCTTGTGATTAGTTGCCATTTTACTTCTTTCCTTTAAACTTCCCTCTAGAAATAAGCATATATTACACATTAAAGTCTGATGTATAGGTTTCCTATATTTGAGACAACTACAGACTGATAAAAGCATTTATTTTAAAGAAAGCCTTTAGAATTCCCTTCAGATTTTAAATCAGAATTAGAAGAAAAGAGAAGAGATTGGATTTATACCTCGCCCTTCACTACCCAAAGGAGTCTCAGAGCGGCTTACAAACTACTTTTCCTTCCCCTCCCCACAACAGACACCCTGTGAGCAATGTTCCCTCTAATCTGTGGAGTCTTGTGAGCAAGAATTCTTCTTTGTGAGCTACTGGCATTAAAGTTGTGAGCGAGCCATTTGGCTACTGCATCAATTACTTTGCTCTGGAGCCCTCCTTCCTGAGCCAAGACGAAAATGTGTGAGCCGGAGGCTAAAAAACTGTGAGCTAGCTCACACTAACTCAGCTTAGAGGGAACACTGCCTGTGAGGTAGGTGGGGCTGAGAGAGCTCTGACAGAAACTGCTCTTTTTCAAGAACAGCTGTGCCAGAACTATGACTTGCCCAAGGTCATCCAGCCAGGTGCAAGTGGAGGAGTGGGAAATCAAACCTGGTCCTCCCAGATTAGAGTCCGCGCACTTAACCACTACACCAAACTGGTGTAAATTATATTTAAGTACCACTTACTTGTAGAGTTTATGCACATATTATGATTGCAACCCTCAGAATTAAGACTCATTGAGAAAGGCTTTTTAGGACTATCTAGCACATATAATTTTTTGTTTTTATATCCATCTATCTGTCTACCTATGTATGTAAATACATGTACATATACACAAAACTATTCACCAACATATCCTATCATTTTATACACACGTCAAAATCTCTGATCTTACATTTTCTTAAGGCCTAATCTTACTCCATTAAACATTATTTCCCCCATGTGTGTGTATGTATGTATGTATGTGTGTGTGTATAGCAAGTTTATTAATAAGCATAATGAGTCAGCACTTGTTTAAACATGTATCACTTAACACTACAGCTCTTTGTGTCCATTACTGTACCAATAACATACTGGCTGCAGTAATCATATCCTTTATATATCCATGATCTGTTTTTACCTCATTTTGTATATATCCTGAGGGAAACTTGGATCACATGGAATTCTCTACTTCACAATCTCAGTTAAGACCTTACTTATATCCTGACAATACTTTAGGACATTCCATCTACATATAGAAGACTGTCTCAAACTTTTTTGTATCTCCAGCACAGACTGGATACATTAGCTGTTATTCTAGCTAATCTAGGCAGGGTATAATAGTTGTACATCCAAGGCTGTTTGTGGTTGTGGTGTAATGGTTAGTGTTGGACTAGGATCTGTGAGACCCAGGTGTGAATCCCTACTTTCTCATGGAAGCTTGCCAGATGACCTGGGGCCAGTCACATACTCTCAGCCTAACCTACCTCACAGGGTTCTTGTGTGGATAAAATGAAGGGGAGAATGTTATAAGCCACTTTACATTCCCATTGGGGATAAAAGTGGGGTATAAATGGAGTAAATAAACAAACACATAAAACTCTACACATATTTTTATGCATCATAAACCATAGATTTTTCAGAGATACCAGATAATCAGTTCCCCATTTTAGTTTATAATCTGTTCTTTTATTTTATAGATCTATTAAAGAAGTGTATTTTGGCTATAAATTCCTTTTCGTAGTGGAAAGTAAGGTCACGTTCCAAAGGACTTACAGCGACCCTGTAGGGTTTTCAAGGCAAGAGACACTCAGAGGTGGTTTGCCATTGCCTGCCTTTGTGAAGCAACCCTGAACTTGGTGGTTTCCCATCCAATTAGACTAAGATGTGTTCAAATTTATTTAAAGCTCAAAATATATTCTCTGGTTGTTGCATAGGTTGTATTAAACCTCTCATTTGGATATAAAGATACTGAAATGCAGCCCACCCTCTGTTTAAATCTCTGAAATAAGTACAATAAGATATAGATAAATAGATCTATATTTTATGAAGTTTCATTAACTCGTTTTTAGCCATATAGCAAAAGTAGTTGCCCCTTTGAGCTCTGAAAACCCCATACTTTGAATTAACAGTATGACTGATGAATACTTCAGCCTTAACTAAAATTTATCCCACGCTTGGGTTAAGACTGATTGCATAAAATGAGAGTCAGGGTTTCTCCTGCCATATCCAGACACAAAGCAGAATATCTACTTTTAATTGCTTTTTGTCCCAATAAATCATTCCTGTTTTGACTTGAATAGCCCAGGCTACCTCCTTTTCATCAGATCATGGAAGCTAAGGAGGACTTGCCCCTAGTTCATATTTGGATCGGAGACCACCAAGGAATACCATGGTCGCTACACACAGGCAGGCAACATCAAACCACCTCTGAACATCTCTTACCTTGAAAACACTATGAGATCATCATTAATTGGCTGCGACTTGACAAAACAACAACAACAAAATCCCCCCACCCTAATCCAACAGGGAATTGCCTTCAACATTAATGTACAGTAGTATCTTCAATTGCAGGAAGTCCATGACAACTCCAGTGCTGTTGAAAGATCTCATTTTATTATTGGCTTTTTATTGTTCCATATAATCTATTCACAGCTGACCGAATAAGTGTACAATAGTAAAAAGAAACCAGATTTTGGTAATATTTTTATAACATAAATTTCTTTCAACCATGAATGTTAATTGCAGGCAATTTTAAAAGATATATATCTTCTTAATTACTGATTCTAAACTATTTGAGCTAGGCGGTCAATAGTATCTGAATTCGGATATCTGATCTAATGTTTTACTTTTGTCAAAACAACCAAGTATATTTCACAAAATCTTTAAAAGATTCTTTATGGTTTTGTAAATTAAAAACTAACTAATGAGCATACATTAATTCGTATATCATCCTTGGTAAATTGGGGCGGCTCGGGTGTTTTTTGTTTCGTTTTTAAATGTCCCATAGTATGTTTGTGATAAATCTGAACCATGCAAGCAGATAACTAGCGCCTCAGGGAGAACACACCGAGACATTCATAAACAAAAGAAGAAAACAAAAAACACCCGAGATGCCCCAATTTCCAGCCTCAAGTGGTACACAGTACAATCCACACTATTAGGACTCTACCACTCTCCGTCCCTGAGGAATATACAGATACGAGTTAGAATGTATTTAGGAGAAAGATGGTTGTGTGGAGGGCAACATATTTCAGCAAGATTCACAGAGACTTCGGAAACTCCAACCTGGGACGGGCTGTAGGGTAGAGTGGCTTAGGGATTTCCATTCTAGGTTTGGAGGCGCCGCAGTAAAAGCCCTGCCCCCCAACCCGATTTCAAGTGTAGGGGCACAAGGTTCACTCCAGCGTCCAGCTTACCTGACTCTTCCTCTCACACGCCCCCCCCCCCCCCCCCGGGAGCTCAGGGGGGAACTTAACCTACCGGCTTTCCTCCATGCGTCTGCCACCGTATCCTAGCAACCAAGCCAGAGGACTCCCGTCCCCCATGCTTCATTCTCGCCAATCGACGTCTCATCGCGGGATGTCAGAACGAGTCTTCCCTCGTACCGACCTCTAGATTGCTTTGCGCTTGCATTCTGGGAAATGTAGTCTCCTCGCCCACCGTCGCTTTTCGCCCGCTTCGGCTCATCCTGGATGGCGCATGTTTCTTGGCGCCCAGTGAATGACGATGATTCCGGTGAAGGGAGGGGGAGAAAGGAAGGCGGCGGCGCTGTTCCCACTGCTGTGTCAGGGTGGGAAAGCCGGAGGGCGATGGCGAGCGCAGGTAGCAACTACCGGCTCCGCTGCTCCCTGGTGGGGCACGAGCTGGACGTGCGGGGGCTCAGCAGCTGCCTCTTCCCGACGGGCGCATTCGTGTCGGTGTCCCGCGACCGCACGGCGCGGCTGTGGGCGCCGGACAGGTCAGTGCTCTCTGGAAGAGGGCGAGGAATGGGGCGGGTGACGCGAAGTTGGGCTGGCTCCGGTGGGACCTCGCGCGCCTCGCTCTGTGGGGAGCCGGTCTGGGAAGGTTACAACAGTGTGATGTACGAGCCTACAACTTAAATCGGGGAAAAACGAAAAGCCCTAGCCAACGATCTAAGATATTTCTCGGTTAAACAAATACCCATTCAAGCTCCTGTTCTTTCATGGGCCTTGCGGTGATGTGCCAGGCAAAGGACCTGATTCATTTCAGGCGCTCCCGAGATCGCTGGTTACACCCCACCCCCAAAGTACTAACTAGTCGGTTTCCTTTCCAAACCTATCTTGATGTGTCAGTGGCCAGAAAAGAAAGGCTGACGTTTCTGGATTATGAAATTTACCTGCCTTGCCCACTGGAGGCAATTGTTGTTACAGGAGAATAGTGTTTATAAACCGGAGCTAGTGTCTGATTTGGGTGAGAACAACTTTGTTAAAGTTGTGTGAGCATACCATGGCTTCATATCTTTGGTGAAGGTTTAATGGCGGTGTACGCCAAAGTAGCAGAGGGATAAGATCTGGGTCACTGGGTCACACAACACACTTGGGAGTCTGGATGTGGTAGGAAGCAGGACAAGCAAGCTTCAGGAGTCATTCTCAGGAGTAAAATCAGATGCATGCTTCAGCCGCCAACAGGGCTGTAAGGAGCATTTGTTATAACTAAGCCTGGAAAACATTTTCTTATTTCTGCTTATTTTATAAGAAGCTGTTGTAAGCCAGGCTTATAATGTGTAAAAATTGGGATTTCCTTAGAAGGTCCATTCATTTGTCCATTGCTCTCATTATTATGAACTGTGAAATAGCTGTTTCTGGTAAATAGCTCTTGCCATATTTATGTAGCTGTGTGAAGGCTGAGGTCAGTCCCAGTATCGTTCTTTGAAGTGGTTCTACTGGGGGTGGGGTGAGGTGATAGAAGTACACTGAACAGTGGAAGTAGTGTCAAGATTGTCCTTAGTAGAAGAGACACATTCCTATCCCATGTTTGGATGCTCAAGAAGCATCCATGATGTGCTTTTCAACAACTTTGGTTGGAATTACTTGTGCTTTGATGTCATGTAGATTAGGAGACTGTACAATATGCTTTGTGAGGCTGCCTTTCAAAAGTGCTTGGAAACTTCAGCAAGTTCAAAATATAGCAGTGAGATCTGTAACCACTACAATGAGCATACCTCAACAGTACTGAAAGAACTGTGATGGCTTCCAGCCTGTCTTTCAGCTCAGTTTAAGGTACTGGTGTTAACCTATGGAGTTCCAGAGTACCTCTAGGACCATTGCTTCCTGTATCAGTCTGCCTGTCGAGATCATTGAAGACGTATTGGAAAGTGTTCAGTCAGATGATAACTGACTAACCTCAGCTTTGGCTTTGCAACTTTTGAACACTCTTCCTACTCTGCTTTATCTTACATGTCACATGAAGATTGTTATTTTCTTTAGCCTTTCTTAACAAATTCATATATTTTGTTGCTGTTATGTGTTTTTATCACCATCATTGTTTTATTAGTAATTGTTTCACTGATAACTGTAACTTACAAACCTTATGGAATTATTGTTATAAGTTTTATAATGAGAGATCACGAGCCATGCATTTAGAAAGGGGAAAATATCAGCATATGAAGCAGATTCTTATTTCAGAAAGAAAGATGTATTACCCTGTTCTCTCTAGTGCGATAAAATCAGCAGTGAATTTTTTTCTAAAACCATAAGACTAGGTTAAAGTATTGAAAGAAGTTGTTATAGTAACGTAAAATCATTGGATTCTGTTTTGTGTTTAGCTCCAACAGAGGATTTTCTGAAATGCACTGCATGAGTGGTCATTCCAATTTTGTTTCTTGTGTGTGTGTGATCCCTCCAAGTGACATCTACCCCCGTGGATTAATTGCTACCGGTGGCAATGATAACAACATTTGCATCTTCACTCTGGATAGCCCTACACCACTTTATGTTTTGAAGGGTCATAAAGATACAGGTAAGAAAAAAATACGTATTTGGTGTAGTATGTGTGAGATACACACATTTGGTGTTGGATATAATGATTACATGTTCACTTGTTTCCTCCATTTTACCCTCACAACTACCCTGTGAGGAAGATTAGACTGACAGGATGACTGCCCCCATGTCACCCAGCAGCTGTCATGGCAGAAGAGATCTTGAACTCAAATCTCCTCAGACCTAGTCCATCGCTGTCACTACTACACTATAACATGCTCTTTGCCAGTATTAGGTTTTCTACAAAGAAAGTCATGTGTATGATTATCTGCTCATGGGACAGAAATTATGGGTGGGTGGGCGATGTCTGGAATTCTTGGCTGTCAGGGAACAGGGTAGTTCACTTGAGGGTCAGCTTGCTGACCTGGAGTAGCTGAGAGAGACAGAGATATATAGATGAGACCCTTAGGGACCTGTTAGAACTGTGTCACTCCTGCGCTGACAGATCCTCTGCTTTGAGGGCCTTGAGGATGGAGAGTGATGTCTCGCTGACAGATCCTCTGCTTTGAGGGCCTTGGAATTGGAGGGCATCAGGCTGTGGAGGCTAGAAATAATCCCTTAGAAGGGACCCCTTCCTGAACCAATATTCTCTCGTACCTGGGATACCCCTCTGAGGTAGTGGTGGTAGGCTTTTGGTAGTAGGAAATTCAGTCAATAGGAGAGTAATTCAGGTGGGTAGCCTTATTGGTTTGAAGCAGCAGAACAAAGTTTGACTCAAACGTTGTCTCATTAGGAGGATGGAGAGTGATGTCTGTGGCAGGCATGTGCAAGGATTGTGGATATCATGTGCTGTCTAGATAGGCTGATAGCTAAGTGTGGGAGAGGAGTCAGTAGTCATGGTGCATGTTGGCACCAATAACATTGGGAGATGTGTGGTCCTGAAGTATAAATTTAGATTACTGAGGGGTAGGCTAAAGGCCAGCACTTCAAGGCGGCATCTTGGATTTAAGAGCTGTATATGTCTACAGCATGCCCTCCTTATCTTGAAAAACATTTCACTCATTTTAAAGAAAATATTTCAAAGTTTTTTTTCAGGGTGTGTTAAGTGCCATCAAGTTGCTTCTGACTTGTGGCAACCCTACGAATTGTTGACCTTCAAAAGGCCCTGTCGTTAACAGCCTTGCTCAGGTCTTGCAAACCGAGGGCTGTGGCTTCTTTTATAGAGTCAACCCATCTCATATTGGGTCTTCCTCTTTTCCTGCTGCCTTCAACTTTCCCTAGCATTATTGTCTTTTCCATTGACTCTTGTCTTCTCATAACGTGACCAAAGTATAATAGCGTCAATTTAGTCATTTTAGCTTCTAGGGAGAGTTCAAACTTTATTTAATCTAGAACCCACTTGCTTTTTGGCAATCCATGGGGTCCATAAAAGTCTCCTTCAACACTTCCTGTCAGCTTTCTTCATTGTCCAACTTTCACACCCAAGAATAGGAATGCGGGCTGCCCTTCCCAGTCTTCTTTTTTGTTGTTCTTTTCTGTTTGTCTCAAACATTGCAGCATATTGCTGTTGTTGCTACTTGGAATGATAAAAGGGTTGGAACACTTTCCCTATGAAGAAAGGTTAAAGCGCTTGGGGCTCTTTAGCTTGGAGAAATGACGGCTGTGGGGTGACATGATCGAGGTCTATAAGATTATGCATGGGATAGAGCAGGTAGAGAAAGAAGTACTTTTCTCCCTTTCCCATAATATAAGAACTCATGGGCACTCAATGAAATTGCTGAGCAGTCAGGTTAGAACGGATAAAAGGAAGTACTTCTTCACCCAAAGAGTGATTAACACATGGAATTCACTGCCACAGGAGGTGGTGGCGGCTACAAGCATGGACAGCTTCAAGAGAGAATTAGATAAACATATGGAGCAGAAGTCCATCCGTGGCTATTAGCCACAAGGTATAGAAAGGAACTCTCAGGCTGGGGAAAGTGATGCACTGTATTCTTGGTGCTTGGGGGAGGGCAACAGTGGGAGGGCTTCTAGTGTCCTGGCCCCACTGGTGGACCTCCTGATGGCACCTGGTATTTTTGACCACTGTGTGACAGAGTGTTGGACTAGATGGGTCATTGGCCTGATCCGACATTGGCTTCTCTTATGTTCTTAAGTTTACTCCACCCCATGTGTGTTTCTCACTCTTGCAAAGCAATAAACATCCTGCAACTTGCAGTATGTTTGTTCATTTGTCATTGTTTTCCTCCCATTTCTGTGGCTGCACATGTGCTCATCGAAAAGTTGTCTTATCAGCTTGGAACTAATTTTTGGTACTGTCTAGTTAGAACAATATGCATTGCTGTGTTAACATCAGAATAGGTACTGCTTATAGTTTTATCATTGCAATTGATGCAAGTTCTGGTGTTTTTGTAACTGGAGTTAATGAGAATGTTATTCATACTCTGTGATTGGTCATATTGCATGATACTGTGCTAGAGATGTGAAGTTCTGAGGGGGGAGGGGAAGAAACCCCAAAACCATTTTTAGGGGAAATGTGTGTTCCCAGTTCTCTCCTTTTCCCCAAGAGAAAATCTGGGGGGGGGGGGGGGGGAAAAAAAAGGTGGGGGGGGGGGGGGGG